ACGACATAGTATAGTAAGGCATAAAAAGGCATAAAAACGACATAGTATAGTAAGGCATAAAAAGGCATAAAAACGACATAGTATAGTAAGGCATAAAAAGGCATAAAAACGACATAGTATAGTAAGGCATAAAAAGGCATAAAAACGACATAGTATAGTAAGGCATAAAAAGGCATAAAAACGACATAGTATAGTAAGGCATAAAAAGGCATAAAAACGACATAGTATAGTAAGGCATAAAAAGGCATAAAAACGACATAGTATAGTAAGGCATAAAAAGGCATAAAAACGACATAGTATAGTAAGGCATAAAAAGGCATAAAAACGACATAGTATAGTAAGGCATAAAAAGGCATAAAAACGACATAGTATAGTAAGGCATAAAAAGGCATAAAAACGACATAGTATAGTAAGGCATAAAAAGGCATAAAAACGACATAGTATAGTAAGGCATAAAAAGGCATAAAAACGACATAGTATAGTAAGGCATAAAAAGGCATAAAAACGACATAGTATAGTAAGGCATAAAAAGGCATAAAAACGACATAGTATAGTAAGGCATAAAAAGGCATAAAAACGACATAGTATAGTAAGGCATAAAAAGGCATAAAAACGACATAGTATAGTAAGGCATAAAAAGGCATAAAAACGACATAGTATAGTAAGGCATAAAAAGGCATAAAAACGACATAGTATAGTAAGGCATAAAAAGGCATAAAAACGACATAGTATAGTAAGGCATAAAAAGGCATAAAAACGACATAGTATAGTAAGGCATAAAAAGGCATAAAAACGACATAGTATAGTAAGGCATAAAAAGGCATAAAAACGACATAGTATAGTAAGGCATAAAAAGGCATAAAAACGACATAGTATAGTAAGGCATAAAAAGGCATAAAAACGACATAGTATAGTAAGGCATAAAAAGGCATAAAAACGACATAGTATAGTAAGGCATAAAAAGGCATAAAAACGACATAGTATAGTAAGGCATAAAAAGGCATAAAAACGACATAGTATAGTAAGGCATAAAAAGGCATAAAAACGACATAGTATAGTAAGGCATAAAAAGGCATAAAAACGACATAGTATAGTAAGGCATAAAAAGGCATAAAAACGACATAGTATAGTAAGGCATAAAAAGGCATAAAAACGACATAGTATAGTAAGGCATAAAAAGGCATAAAAACGACATAGTATAGTAAGGCATAAAAAGGCATAAAAACGACATAGTATAGTAAGGCATAAAAAGGCATAAAAACGACATAGTATAGTAAGGCATAAAAAGGCATAAAAACGACATAGTATAGTAAGGCATAAAAAGGCATAAAAACGACATAGTATAGTAAGGCATAAAAAGGCATAAAAACGACATAGTATAGTAAGGCATAAAAAGGCATAAAAACGACATAGTATAGTAAGGCATAAAAAGGCATAAAAACGACATAGTATAGTAAGGCATAAAAAGGCATAAAAACGACATAGTATAGTAAGGCATAAAAAGGCATAAAAACGACATAGTATAGTAAGGCATAAAAAGGCATAAAAACGACATAGTATAGTAAGGCATAAAAAGGCATAAAAACGACATAGTATAGTAAGGCATAAAAAGGCATAAAAACGACATAGTATAGTAAGGCATAAAAAGGCATAAAAACGACATAGTATAGTAAGGCATAAAAAGGCATAAAAACGACATAGTATAGTAAGGCATAAAAAGGCATAAAAACGACATAGTATAGTAAGGCATAAAAAGGCATAAAAACGACATAGTATAGTAAGGCATAAAAAGGCATAAAAACGACATAGTATAGTAAGGCATAAAAAGGCATAAAAACGACATAGTATAGTAAGGCATAAAAAGGCATAAAAACGACATAGTATAGTAAGGCATAAAAAGGCATAAAAACGACATAGTATAGTAAGGCATAAAAAGGCATAAAAACGACATAGTATAGTAAGGCATAAAAAGGCATAAAAACGACATAGTATAGTAAGGCATAAAAAGGCATAAAAACGACATAGTATAGTAAGGCATAAAAAGGCATAAAAACGACATAGTATAGTAAGGCATAAAAAGGCATAAAAACGACATAGTATAGTAAGGCATAAAAAGGCATAAAAACGACATAGTATAGTAAGGCATAAAAAGGCATAAAAACGACATAGTATAGTAAGGCATAAAAAGGCATAAAAACGACATAGTATAGTAAGGCATAAAAAGGCATAAAAACGACATAGTATAGTAAGGCATAAAAAGGCATAAAAACGACATAGTATAGTAAGGCATAAAAAGGCATAAAAACGACATAGTATAGTAAGGCATAAAAAGGCATAAAAACGACATAGTATAGTAAGGCATAAAAAGTCATAGTATAGTAAGGCATAAAAAGTCATAAAACAGTCATAGTATAGTAAGGCATAAATAGTCATAAAAATGTCATAGTATAGTAATGCACAAAATGTCATAAAATCTTCCTAGTACAGTAAGGCATACAATTTCATAATATATTAAGTCATTAAAACCTCAAAAAACCTCATACTATAGTAAGGCATAAAATGTCATAAAAACAGCATAGTATACCAAGGCACGAAAACGTTACGTATAATGTATACTTGTTGCTTAACTCAGAGAAAGACTGAGAAAACACTGTACTTGTTTTTTTTTTTACATGTTTTAATAAGTTCTATTTTATTTGCAGATTTTATTTGCAGATTACAACAAACAGTAGATATGCCCATACATTCATTTCAATTCATCAAGTCATTATGATAAGCTAATCAACAGGAGGTACAGGCATTGTAATCAGAAAACATGCACAGTTCTTGCTTGTTATTTCTATAGTTATGTTTTAGGTTATCTCCAAAATCAATGACTTGGTCCAGATATGATCAAAGAATATCTCTACATGTGACATGGATGTCTTTACTGTGGAAATACTTCTTTACAGTGGCTGTGTACCTTCCTTCCCCAAAATTGGCAAATTGTGTTTTCCAGCAAACATTCAAAAGATAATTTCATGAATCTGCGGGTAATTTAAGTGAAAAGACACATTTAACAGTCAAGTGAAAATTACTTAATTCACGGCAACATTTACGATCACTTTACCTTTTAGAAATTACAGTGTTCTTCACCAGGAGTCCCAGCATTCAGAGAGATGAATACAGATAGTGATGGATATGGATGGCCACACACAACCACCTGACAGAAACCAGACCATGTCCTGCATTTGAATAGCCACAGTCAGTGTAATGACAGCATCATCTGCATATAGTGACACCTCCCTTGTCTCACCAAATTTGACTTTTTACGGGCTTCAACTGCATCTTCACATCCTGTCCATTAGTTTAATAAACAATTTGACCTTCTCATAACCAACTTAGCCTTGATTTGACTTGATACCAAGTAGCAAGTAGCAGTAATCCAAAACCACAAACTACAATCGAAAGCAACAGACTTATATATGTCTATATTTAATCATCATTGTGACTTTGCTCCTGATTTATTTGCCTGTTACATTTGATATAAAGCTGGATGTTTTAAGTTAGTGTATCATTATCATCATCATCTGTATTGTGGAGAGTTCTGAAGCTCTAAACAGCATATTTACTGCAACTGCAGAGAGTTGACATAGTCAGCTATTGAGAAATATTGAATCTGGTTTCTTGGGTCTCAACTTGCTGTCTGTACCGTTTAACTTAATCCCTTCAGTAAATAATATATATAGAATTTCAGTGGTTTCACCTGTGGAGGCCTCGATAACACTGGATCATTAATTTCCCATAATGCAACTTGATCATTTTTGACTTGATAAATTTGTAGTGAAGGCTCACATTATATTTGACATCAAATCTAAGAAAACATAAATACCCCCAATGGGCTCTGGGTTACTTATTCATAGATAAGTTCCACCACAGTCAAGACATTTTACAAATGTTTTACAGGTTGAGTAGTGTTCCCCATGACAAATAAAGTGATCATGTGTAAAATTGGGAAATTGAAAAATGTTACAAAACACACAATTTCTGTAAGTGGGTGCTTGTCGCTTGTATTCCCAATAGGGTTTTATTTTTATTTCTCAGTCCGGGCACATTAGTAACACCTTGCATTAGATTTCTCATAAATGCTTAACTTGCATCACTTGTTTACTGAACAGTGTACAGTTGCATCAGTGAGATGAAGTGCTGCTGTAGATAAAGTACCCATAGGACCAGACCTGGGATCAGTTTACCCTTTTAGACCCTAACATGAGTCATAATTGAGGGAAAATGAAAAGTAACAACAACAACTCAGAATATTGCTTTGTGCATGTGAAACACATTCATGCATTCTTCCCAAATGTCAATTTAAAAGGCAATTTAATGAACACTACAGCCTTGGCAGTACTATATTCTGCAGGTGGGTTGTTCTGCCCTGAAGGCAAAGACAGAGTCCCCTTCACACATTAATTACTCAAAGACTAAGGCAAGAAAGTCATTAATATTTGCCCCGGCAGCATGTATAACTCTACATGGACTCAGTTTCAACCTAAACACGCCCCTTTGTATGCATCCAATCACTGAAGACATCTTGGCATCTTTGCATTACTGCCCAGTCACAGCTTCAGTCAGTCACCATGTTGTTGAGGGACATCCTTGAGACTGGCCCAATCCAAAAATGGCATTAGTCCCTGTGGATCATTTTTTAAAAGCCCTTAGTCCTGATGATCTGGTGCTACATGCAGAGGAGTTTTGCAGTTGGTGAAGCACACCAGAACTGTTGGACGCTGTGAATCGTTTAAGGTAAGATAGGCTGCGATTTTTAGATCACAAGCAAAGACATACTGTAATTGTCATGATTTTGATGGTAGCGTTTGGACTAAACCATTTAACTGGCATTCTTTAGGGGTCAAACTGTGCAGAAATAAAATGTGGTTTCTTTAAAGTAACCCTTTCCTCCACATCTTTTTTTTCTCGTTCGCAGCTAGCCTCTTCTTCCAGCATCAACCTTTTCCCCCGCAATGTTCAACACTACGCAGAATCCGCCCACCAACCTCCATGTGAACTCTACTACTGTCAGTGGCCACCATATAACTCCACCATGGTACCAGTTCCCAGTGTGTGCCGTGGCCCCTTATGGCTTCATTTTCTACTTTGGGGTCAAGGTGTTCAACCTGGCTCTGGGGACTCCCTGTAACATCCTGGTCATCTGGCAGATCGCCACTAAGAAGAGTGACGCCTCCACCTCTGACATCTTCATCTTCAACCTGGCCATCCTGGACGCCTACTTCTGCCTGATGACGCCCATAGAGATGGCCAACCGGTTGCTGCTGGGCGACAGTCGTATCTGGTACTTTCAGAGGTTCGCATACGGGATCAAAGATGTAGCACCACTCTTTCTGGTGAGTTACTATGTCTAATTCTTAACTAATATGGACATGTTTTTGCTGCACTATTTTAAAAGTAATACAGCTGATAAGACTGTCAACATAAGTTTCATACATAATAGTAAATCATATGAAATTGATCCAAATTGTACCATCATCAGATCATAACATCTTTTCTTTTAACGATTAAAAAAAAAAAACTGTACACCGAAATCTCTTAAAGGTATTTTGTCTTAAGGCAGAATTAGAGATTTGGATATTTAAATCTTAATTATTAGCACAACTTTTTTTGACTTGGATCAGTTTAGCACCTTGTGAGGTTCAAAGATAGAAATTCATTAATGAAACCAGAATTATGGGGTTCACCTCCATTCATTATTCAATGAGACACTCAAAAGTAAAACAAAAAAATCAAGCCTGTTTTTTTGCAACACAAGAAATACAGTAGTAAAGAAAGATATTGATTTTTCTTTTTTAAATGCATGCCTGAATATTGTTATTTGGGTGCAGTTTCTACCAGGTAGTTCAATGTCTGGAAAACGTGTTTTGACATTTATCAAAAAGTCTTCTTCAGTTTTTTATCAGTTAAAATTCAAGTTCAGTAATTCTGATTCAACTCCTTCAAGCAGGTTTCCGTTCTATTAAAACTACTTTTAAAAATTCACTGAAGTTCACTGTAAGATTACATTTTTTCACTGGTCTCCTGCCCCAGGTGTGTATTTGCTTGGACCGCTACATTGCAGTGGTCCACCCAGTATTGTTCACTGGTATCCGTGACAACAAGATCCGCATTAGCATTTCTGTGGTGGTCTGGGGTCTCATCCTGGCTTATGGCCTCACCAAGTGCACCCTGGGAGTCATGAGTGTCAACGAGGTCTTCAGCGGTGTGATCCTCTTCGCCTTTGCGGTCATGGTCTTCTGCAACATCTCAGTCATCTGGGTTCTCCGCCGCTCTGTGGCGGGAAAGGAGGAGATGCATCCGGTGAAGAAGAAGGCCTTTAAGATGGTGCTGATCATCCTGGCCATCATCGTGGTCAACTACCTGCCGCCTGTGGCGCTCATGCCCTTTGTGTCGTACTACTCGTTTGTGGCGTTTCGCTGCCAGATCAGCATCAGCGTGTTCTCCATCATGGACCTGAGCTGCAGCATCGAGCCTCTTCTCTACATTACAAAGATGGAGCGTGTGGACGGCAGTTGCTGTGGGCGGAGTTTGTCTAAGCAGCCACATGATGCCAAGGTGTGATCAAGCCACCTATATCTCCAAAAATGGATTCACCACATTTTGTTGTTTAATCAAATATTCTCTAGGATATTGCCAGTTTTTCCACAGACAGCTGCACAAGTTAACTGACTGACATCTGATTTTTTTTTTAGCATCTGTTTTTATTACGCAGAAGATTATTATGCATCATTTTATTTTCAGCCTGTTAGATAAAAAGTAAGGAGCAACTCTTTTTTTTTTTTACCTTGTCCAGGAAGATTTACTATTGTGCAACCAGCAACTGGTATCCATTAAGTTCACACAACATCCTCAGAGGAAAAAAAAATCATTAACTACAGTAACAGTAGATAAGGCTGCTGGGTACTCCAAAAGATCAAATACAAATAATTTGAACCAATGTAGATTATTCCTTGACGAGCCGAGTTTGTTCCTATGGAAACCGGTATAAAACCTCTTCTCATTAACGTACCCATACATCTTTTTGTCCACTTTAATGACAGCCTGGAGCAGTGCCTGGTTCACAGAGCATTGATTAAACACTTAGCCAGACAGTAATTAAGCCTCATAATCAGAGACACGCTATGGGACCAATTAGCAGCTATGTAATGAGTGGGCAGGCAGATTATATAAGTGGTTAACAAACTAAATACATAACACACTGTAATTAGTAAAGGAAGACAAATATGCAGCGTAATGACTGTGAAGTAACAACTCCCATTTTAAGAAGAATTTACATACTGACATAGGATTTAAACTGTTGATTTAAATGATGTGTTGTGGTAATTGGTAAAAATATAAAATGAGTTGTCTGTGGTTGACGTTTTCTCTTTCTTGAGATACTTTTGGATGATTTTTGTGGTTCATTAAAATGTCAACATATGGTGAATGATATAAACAAGTCTTTATTTTGACAAAAAACTTCATTATACATAGTACAGTTGTACAAGTGTTCATCTCACAGTACATGTGTGAAAGAATCTTAGGTGCAGAGTTGTCTTCATATTTTGATTTCAGAAATTAAATTTTACACAGATACTTAAAATAAAAAAGGCTTACTATTTAAAAATACACATATTAATGAGTCTCATTTCGCATATATTACATTTCAAAATATGTATGAGCTGACAGGACTTATTTTTGATGATATGGCATCTTGTATTTTTGGTTAGACAGAGCTTCTCATTTGTACAAACCATCAGCTATACTTCACTTTTACATTTTGGTTCAATCAGTTTATCACATGCAACTTTTTTAAACTTAGATTGTATTCAGTTTCCTGCACAACTGATAGAAGCACACTGCTGGTTTTGCAGCCTCCGCATTGATTTAATTGTTTAATCAGACGCTTGATTTCTTAATGTGATGTTCCACTCGACTGGCAACAAATCACTTCACTTGGCACTATTTTACTCGGCTGATTATACACTGCCAAGCAGCATCACTGTGCTCAGTGATTGTCTGAAGACACGACTTATAATGACGTCCACTTATAAAACAAGTTTATCCAGTACACACAGTACTGGCAACAAAAATGCTGGATACACCTACTGCAGCAGGAACTACCACAGAGGTGGTTTTGAGTCCTTTGGCAGGTGATTATCTGTCCGTCTGTGGACAGATGTTACTGATATAGCGTCTCAACCGTGCAAGATACAGTCATGAAAATTTACAGGTGTGTAGTTGGAATCAAAATGAAGGCCAAGTCTGTAGACGCGTGTGGTCCGAGCAAGGGGGGTTGGAAATAGAGAGGTTGGAATTAGGGAACAACCCATTTGCCCTCCAGTTTACGCTCCTGGCTCACATTAGTTTAAGTCACGGATCACTGTATCCCAGTTTAAATCATTCCCGTCCACTCTAAGACATGAGGTAAAACTACAGACCATCTTGTGATGGATTACACCAGCTGTGACGCTCGTCAATAATGTAGCAATGACTGCGTCGTGTGACCCATCGCAAAATGACCGCCATATTTTAAGTTGTGTTTTTGTTATTCTCGCTCACCTAAAGCACAGAGGAATTCCTTTCATGATTCACACAAGCACACAAATAGGAATCAAACTTTGGTTATTAGTTTTAAATCTGAGTGATTTTGGTAAGAATCTCCTTCAGACTTTCCAGGCTGGCCTCAGGTCCGTCTTCTGAGGTCACATATCCAGGGTAAGTGGGGTAAAACTGGGGTGATCTGGGTTTAGCGACATCATCTCCTGTCCCAGATGATGAAGGTTGAAATAGTGGTATCAACTTGGCATGAGCATAATCAATCTCAAAACCCTCAAAAATAAGCCCCACCCCACAGGCACCCAACCCCTCCTCAAGAAGCTGCGACACCTTCCTGGTTGCCAGCACCAGTCCTTCGTAGTCCGCTTTTTCTAGTCTGAATATATCAGAGGTCAAAGGTCGGCGAGGGACCAGCACAGTAAAGCCAGGGGAGTTGGGGAAAGGCGTGAGAAAAGCCACATGACCCTCGTCCTCCCACACCCGCCACTGCTGCTCCTCCCCTCGAACAATGCGCGAGAACAGGCCAGGATGAGTCGGATCGTCCCCGAGGAAGGTCAGATTGGGAGGGGCGTCAGGTAACGGGAGTTTGGCTCGAATCTTGGTTTGGGTTTCAGTTAGGCTAGAGTCGCTCCATCGGGGGGCAGTCTTGGAGGTGCAGTACCCTGGGTCGTGGGCGTTGTGCTCCTCCTCACCTGCCAGGTGAGGACGCCACTCTGCATCCAGACCATGAAGGGGGAGGACACTGATCTGTGGAAATGTGTATTTCGCAACTGAAACTCAGATCAACATGAACACAGGAGTAAGCAAAGCTTTCACATTTACTGTTTTAAACACGTGTGGGCTGCAGACCATCTTGGCTGTGGTACAGTTTCAGTAAATGGGTACTTTCCAGAGTCGGACTCAACTGTAAGCTAAATTCACTGTGGTTGCTCTGTCAAAAGCAGCTACACTGGGTGTTTCTGAAGTGCAGCAATTAATAATGGACTCTGTTAAAGTCTAGTCTGTTAAAGCCTTGATTTAACTTACCTTAGCAAGTGGTAAAATATCAAAACTTGTATTTTCTTGTTCCCAGTTTACTACTCAGAAAGTCAAACAATTTAAATGATGAGCAAACTATAAAATGATCAAAGCATCAAAACATTTTCTCACATAATTCTCCTTTAAATAAATTTTGTAATTTTTTAAATTAATAGGACAATTCATAAGTACATATGTGCATTTCTTATTCTCACAAGGATGAATGTTTTTACCAACTACATCTGCCTTAAGGCTTTGAGAGGGCACCCCTACCTAAGATTCATGGGAGCTGTAATTCCTAGTGAGAACATTATTGATGATACCACCAGGGAAAACCTCTAAATGTAGCTTCAGGGGCTTTTTTCCATCATGACGGGGGTAAAACTCTACGGCAATGCTTGACGTAGATCAATGTACATAGAATGTACATAGATCAATACTGGCAAAAAGTAGCTTTAATCCTAAAACATCATTATAAACCTTCAAAAAGTTGCTCTGATTGCACTGCACAGTCAACAAGTCAAAGAAGCCCTCACCTGGGCAGGTTTGTCTTTGTGCGGTCTGCTGACCAGCGCACACCTCCGAACCCCCAACCTGTCACACAGCAGCTCAGCGACAGCTCTCGCTCCCAGCAGCCAGGATAAATACTCCGGCTCCTGCAGGTGGAAGATGCTTCCTCCTGGGCTGCCAGCGGTGCTGCTCTCCAGGATAACAGAGCCAGGGGTCCAGGGCCGCGGGTGAAGGTACGCCACCAGCCCCTCTGACTCCCAGATGATGTGACGGGGAAGAGTGGAAGACATTCTGTGAAGCCAGGGGAGAAGACCATGAGAGATAGAAGTAAGATAACAGTTAAATTATTTAGGGAAATAACAACACATATCTGTTTTATTCAGGCTTTAAAAGTCTATATTTTTACAATAACCTCTTGTGTGTAATCTATGAATTTGATGTTTAATTAATATTATAAGACATACAACTGTGTTAGCACAATAAGTAGAATCTCTACACCTTCAGTTTCAAGGCTTGATAAAAAAGCCTTTTCTAGTTCATCTCTTATTAAAACTTTAATCTGATGTGCAGTCCATGTTGACAGAAACAGGGAACTACTGAGTAAAAATCATGTGACACTTCTCTTTAAGTGTTTCTATGATGAAAATAAAAATACTGTTAGTTGTATTAAAGAAAATATAGATGTGATGTCATTTTAAATTGCATCCTTTTGCACTTTTGAGACGGTCCAAAGCTTCATCTGTCAAATCTGCAGATTCTCAAACTTCTCTGCAAAACCTGTGCAACATGAGGCAAAGTTTATCTTGCACATGCACAAGAACATCTATTGAAAATTAGGGCTGCTACTAATGGTTATTTTCATTATCGATTAATATGCAGATTATTTTTTCATTGACCATTTATTTTGCATATAAAATGCCAGAAAATTATTTAAACACACCAACATCCCAAAGCCCAAACATAGTCATCTTATTATCATGTGTGGCAAAGAAAGGTATCAATTCCTCATATGTGAGAGAGCTTAACAATGACTAAATCAATTATTAAATGATTAAAATTCTTTGTAGATTGACTAATCATTCCAGCTTTAGTGACAATTATGGTGTTTTAGAGAGTGAATTCAGGATTGATATCTCCACTGGTTGAAATCACACATCTGACTCAGGCACGTGACAGTGGGTAAACGTTTCCTTTAGTCACAAAAACTAAACTGATCGGTTTCAGGCAGTCCTCTAATTTAACCTCGGTTACTAACTACGTTGTTCTGTTCTACGTTGGACAGTTTGGTACACGCTGTTTGCCTTAAATTCATGGTCTGTTTAAGTCAGTCAAAAATAAAAATTAAAGTACGCTAATGCGGTTGTATTGTGCTCATACGTTGACCAACTTCATCAAAGGTGACATTGCAGTGAAATACGAGCCACTAAGTCAAACCTATGTATGCCGAAGGACAGTGTGGATTCAAACGACTCAGAGAAAAGTCAGATTGATGAAGAAACTCAAAAGTTTTACCATGAAAACAATGACGCTACCTTAAAAATACCTACTTTTTAAATGGAGTTTGGCACGAAAGCCAACCCACCCAAGAGACTGCCGGGTGCAGGGTTGTTTTTTGTTTTTGTTTTAACCTAAAGTTAATGTTATGAATTCAGATATACTGAGCTGACCTACCTTCTAATAATGAACCTTGTGAACAGCATAAAGTAACGTAGAAAGTGGGAGGAAGACAGACCTGTTTTCTGCTTCCCTCGGCTCGTAGTAAAGTTTCGCGTAATAAGCACAAACAGCAATGAAAACAGTGACAGCGGTTCCGGTGTTACCGGTTCGCCACATACGTCACTGCTGACGGATACCAAACTGGCACATTTTAAAGTATGGGCTGACAGAAAACACTCGTGAATGTGTCATAGGTGTGTTATCTGTTAGCTAATGCCTCCCATATCCCGCCTGACAACTTTCTATTTCTTTCTACTTCCTCCTTCCTCCTTTCTTTTTTCTTCTTCTTCTTCTTCTTCTTCTTCTGCAGTCTAGAGTGGTACACTAGCCCTCTGACAACAGTCTGATGGCCTCCTAAGCCGAATAGCTAAGATCATTTACCTAATTATCTCTAACTTGATAGCCTAGAATAACCTATATAGTCTAAACATAATACAAAAGATAGAAAAAAAAGAAAACCAATTGATACACAGACCTACAGTAACAGGTATTGGGGATCATAGAACTTGTATGCCCCAGGGTCCATTAAATACATTTGTCTAAATTTGTCTCTATATCTTGATCCATGCACTGAGTTCAATAATAACACATGATTCATACTGAGACTGCTGTGCAGCTTTTCGTTTGAGTAGTGGTAAGGAGCCTGCAAACGTGACAAGACATGATTCACCATCTCAGACTATAAAACGCAATGGATTTCAATCAATGCAACTGAATAATAAGTGAGTCACTGCATATTTTGTAATTTAGCAACTAAAATATGATACCATAAAGAAATTATATTACAGTGGATATCCATTACGTCCCCTTCAGTAGCAGTGACATTTGTGTCTATTAAATTTTCAAAGTTACACTTTCATTGTGTGACAGTGCAATGATAGTGTTTGTACTGAAGTGAAATTTGATTGAAAAATCTGTACTGCAGTGGTAATCACATAACATTACTTAAAAACAAAACAGGTATTTTGGTGCTCAAAATATTTTTCTAAATCCATGACAGAATTAATGGAAACCCCTGACAGAGGATATCAGTGTAAATGCTGTGGTTTGCTTTGAAAAATACAACAAATCAATAAGACCTGACAGGACTCGTTACTTATTGCAGGGTTATTTTGACCTGTGTCAGGACACCTGACCTGCTGACACAGGTGCAATAACAATCTGATAAAAGGTTTTGACATCTTCACAGGCAACATTTTCACCCTCCAATAAGAAATGTCAATAACAATAACATCCAACAGTTTTTCTGGCTTTGGGTCCACAACCTCTTAATATGACATATATATATATACATATAATAATCACAAAATCTGTGCAGTTTTGCAGATTTAAGAAGTGACATCAGAGGGCGCCCTTGAGCTGCAGACAAAAGTGCAGTGACTCACTCACTGGTAGAAAAAAAAAAGTTCAGACACAAATTAACCACCATCAGTAAAATAAAACCTTTTGACTCATAAATATATGTCGAACACATCTTCCATCTACACAAAGTAATCAGACTTTCTGTGTCAGCAGTGTGAATTCCTCTTATCTTTGGCTTGTTCTCAGAAGTGGAGCTACTTCCTCTTTCGGCAGAATGTCTACATTAAAACCCCCTGACAATTTCTCCTCTATCTCCACCCTTTTCTCTGCTTACTATTGCTTGAAATGACTCAAAACAAACACACATACATCTGAACTTTTATACTTGTGAGGACCCTCATTAATGTTATCTTTAACCATTCATTACAACTACCGTCTAACTCAACACTTAACCTGAACTTATCCATAATTCTAACTTTAACATTCAAACCAAGTAGTAACCGTCAACAGCACTTTGAGGAAGTGAGGACCAGACAAAATGTCCTCACTTTCTAAAATAACTCGCATTGGTCCCCACAAAGATAGACATATAAGCTCACACACACTACTACTACTACGTACGCCAAGCTGCCAAAAGCTTTCACTGCCTTTGTAAACCTAATCTTCATTAAGGTCATTTGTTCATTGAGGAACTAAGAGAAAGAGAGAAAGAACATCACTGCAAAATATAGATCTTTTCTTTAGTTAAATGATTTACAGTAACCTGGCAAAAATTAGATATTCATTTCACTTTGGTTTGTATGTGGTCTCACATGAAAGACAGTGAGGTTCAGTGAAAAAAAATGTGTCGTCCCACTTTCTGGGAGTAAATCTGTCTTCCTAATCTGCAGCCCGTGACCTCAGTAATGAGCTCAGCTGCTCAAAGATCCTCTGTGGAGGATATCAGCTGTAGACCAGCACGATGATTCACTCAGGGCCAGAGGGTCAGACTGGGTGAATTTCAGGAGTGGAGTACCAAAAATACCAAAATATCTTTCCTTAGATGGCATGGAAGTGATCTTATACAGTTTTAACGAAGCACGGGTAGTTTTTCTGGTGTAAAAATCTACTTGAGATGACGTAGCTTATGTAAATTAATAAAATGAATGTCCAAAAAACACAGTGACACAAAAAAATACTCCACCCACACGTATTCAGTCAGGAAAATGAGTCTTGCCTCAGGTTTTCCAAATGTAGTGTCATTTACTGGTGCTGGACAGAAGTGTGAAATGAAACACACTGGTGATAAAAGCATTTACTGATGCAGGATGTGATGTAACAAACCTCTGAGGAATAAATCAGCCCAGATGTGTAAACGATGACAAACTAACACACAAATTCTGACTGTAGGAAGAATCAGGTTCTTAGATGTGGATGAAACCAAAACTGGCCACAGACAGACCCCAAGCTGCTTCTTGGTTCATGTAAGGGTTAAAGAAATAATCTTAAGGGACTGGGCTTTTCCTTTGGTTTAGTTTGACTGTAAATAACTAACCTCAAAGCCCACATGTGTTTAATGCTTTAACCACGTGTCGTTTATGAGTTTACTCTACTGGGTTATGTTAACAAAAGGCAGCATGTGTGTTGTAAAGTGCTCAGCTCCTGTAACGCATCCTTCACCTATTCTCTGACACAGTCAGCAAACAGAGCCTGACAGAGCTGCCGCATACATCGTTTCTATAGCAATTCATTTTCCTTTTGATTTCCATTAGTTTTGCTGTCACCAATTTTCCCCAAAGGAAACAAATCTGCTAATCTTAAACTAGTCTGATGGACCACCATGGTTAGATTATGGTCATGGATGATGTGAGTTGTTGGAGGTCAATATATATATATATGATATTAATCTGTTTTTTTTTTTGTTTTTTTTACAATATTCATTCAGACCCAGTCATTTGCTGCAGAGAGAAATGATGTCATGAGTGGGAAAGTTTCTGAATCATTACATGAATGCTCACAAAAGTCTAAGACCCTCTCAACACAAGATGAGTAACATTCTTGGTGTTGATCTTACAGTAAAAACAGAGGAGCTAATGCAAACATTTATGTTCAGTGTAGCCTAATTAGGTTTATGCATATAAATCTTCTGCTTTAGTTCCTGGTTGTACAATCAAACATTTCAGAATCACACATTGAAGTAGCAGCTGCAGTAATGTTTAAACTCAGCAGTATCCTTTAAATATCTTCTGAAAACATAATCTTATTGAAGAAATGAGCTGTTTTATTTGAGTTTTTTTTATACATTGTTTCTTATATTGTATTCCTTTTAACTTACACTGAAAAATACTGGGTTACTATAAGGTATTTTATAATGATTGTTATTGTTGTGTACTAATTTCCCATAATCATAGAAGCACACACTATACAGAAAAGATGCCACTGTAATGACATTTTACTCATTTGCTTGTTATTATGCATGAATACAACTGTTGGAGAAACTCCCAGGCGGGGACACAGTGCTTGGTGTAACATGAAGAAAAGCCTTGAAGCAAACATCCACAGCCACCTACAGAAGGGTCGGTTTCAACGGTGTGGCCTGAAATAACGAAGCCGGCCTGGCACGTCGTCATCTCATCAGAATTAGTCACGTCAGTGTTGCGGTGTAACTGACGTTTAAGTTTGTGGTGGGAAACATTAGCAGCTAATGTTAGTGAAAATAACAGAATATATGACGTCGAATATATGATCCCAACGCTGTGTTTACAGACACAACACAGCACTTTTTTTCACTGTACGTAACTGAAATCTTTTTTTTTAATCTATTACCTACTGTATTTATCTTTGCCATACTGTTCACAATGTTATTGGCTAAAATGTTTAGTCACCTGTAGCATCAAAACCATACAGACAATGGTTCATAAGTTAAAGGCAACATATTATGAGGTTCAGCAGTTTTTTTCACTTTAAGCTTTTTGTGAAATGTCTTCACCCCCAAACACAAATCCATTTACTGTAAACTGCAACGGTGTGTATTCTCGAAACAGCTGATCTGTAGGAAGGTGACATCCTGGACAAAATCAGTCTGAAGTGCTTTTAAAACATTCAAGAACATGTATTTTAATGTGCTTCTGTGTTGTTTTTTTTTACAATGTCCGGGACTGTGGCGTGTTTCCTTGTTGTTTTAATGTCAAGGTTGTCATCAACACGAAATGTGGAATCAGCAGCTCTGCACACTTTGTTGCTTTGCAGCGTGGGCGTGTCAACACGTGTGGTAGCCATTTGCACGCAATGATAAATCCTACAGTCCAGCTCTTTATGCTTAACTTTACATTCATATAAAAAAATCATTTAAATACTTGAACAACTGCAACTTTTGACCATAATGTATCACATCAATGTGACAGTGTCCACAGGTCTAATTTATACAAGACTGCACGTCACGTGATGTATATGTGTTATAGTTGTGTTATATAATATCAGCCAGAGATAGACTAGCA